CTTACAGGATGACATCAATTTCAATTTAATTTATATAAGCATAGCACAACAGAAAACCATGAGTATGTCTTCAACTTAAATTAAATAAAAATTTAAGTTTCTTACCTGCTTATTAAAGTTGTCGACCAAGTGTCTCAGACAGTAAGCATGATGGCTACCAGGAAAAACCATAGGGATGGCTTTAAGTAGCCCACTATGTCGGTCTGTAAAAAATGTAAAGCTTCTAGAAATAGGTATGCGCGAGGAAATAAAAGTACTATTGAGCTTCAAGCAAAACCACTCCCAATTTTCATCGGTCTCGGCATCAACAACGGCATATGCTATAGTGAACAAATCATCATTCGCATCCTTACTCACAGCACTAAGCAAAACACCTTTGTATTTATTTTTTATGTGAGTGCCATCCAAAAAAATCAATGGTCGACAACCGGTTAAAAAACCGACAAGGCAAGCATGGAAGCAGATGAACAATCGGCGAAACTTATTCTCCACAGGATCAATCTCGCAGTCGGCAATGCTTCTGGGGTTCGTCTCCCGCACTGCACTACAATACCATCTCAATCGATCGTAAGATCCTCTGTCTGCGCCATGAATATCTTGCATGGCAAACTCTTTCCCTAACCATGCCTTTTTGTAAGGCAACTCCAAGCCATACTCCCTGTGTAGATCTTTCAATATCGTGGTAGGCTTGTAACTCGGTTCATCTCTCAATTTGTCTTTTATTGTACTTGAGACCCACATGGAGTCTGCTTTCGGATGGCCCCTTGTCCGAAGATTGGACACTCCACAAGTATGAACTAGATTGCATTTGCGGATGACAAACAATTGATCACCTTTGTGTAATGATGCATATATTCTCCATTCACAACCCGAATCGCTACAACAAATGATGATCTTTTGCTTGTCATTTCTTCGATACTTAAAGGACCGCTTATTTGCAATCGCGTAATTTTTAACGCTCTTACGAAATTCGTCGGCCCCACTAAATATCTGCCCCTCTCCTTTGATGCAAGATCTCCAAGAATCAATTGATTTATCTTGCAACAACTCATGTTCTCCATCCGATAAATCATCATACGGTACGATTTCCCTAAAAAATAATACAAATATTTATAAATAATAGAACTAGTTCAAAAATTAATGAAATAGGATATGATACGACTATACCATATTTCAATAATAAATTGATTAATATTATTAAAGCAACATTACCTATTCATCGGGAAGGATTGAACTCCATCGTCCGTTCTTTCGTTTCTTTCAAGGGAAAGCATCTTGACAATATTCACTTTCCAACTAAAATGTAACCGAATCATGTTCTTCACATCCTCATCATCCAACAAACTAACTTTCTTTTTATCCTTTGGCGCAATATAGCAAAGCACGACGGATTCGAAATTAACGGTCGGCCACCTCTTAGATATGAGAGTGTACACATCGTCAAGCGTTAATCCAATGTGCATAGAGAACATAAACAATTCATCCTTGTACGTACAACTCCCTAGTAGATCACTTTGTGCCCCTTCCATGTATCTAACAATAATTGGGTAAATAAAAAAATAAAACTTCACATTCCCAGATAAATGTGGTACTAAACAGTATAATGCGGTACTATATACAAAAATAAGAGGTACAATAATCAAGAATAGTGGTACAATGATCATTCCCACATTATTTTCTTGTTTTAGGGTGAAAAACACATTACATAACATAACAATAGCATCAATTTCGTATACATGAACAATAATTTATTTTTGATCAATTTAATTGATTTAGGGTAAGATTTAAGGTAAATATTAACAACAATATTCAAAATTCAATTCTTAATAAATTAACCAAAAATATATGAATTAAACATGATTTTTGGACTCCAAGATCCTCGTATAATACATATAATACTTATTACTTCAAATTTTGGCCCAAAAAACCACAAATGTTGCAGGAAAAAGTTTCAAATTTTTGCCCGATTTGACGTCGGAATCACTTGTTTGGCCGGATTTGTTGCTGCCGGATTTCTTCTCGCCGGATTTTGTATCGTCGAAGACCACCTGCAAAAAAAAAAAAAAGAAAAAGGAATAGTCGCCGAGATGGTAGGGAGACGGGAGGGAGATGGGAGGAAGACGGGAGGAATTTTGGGGAAGAAAGAACATTCAAATAAAATAATATTATGTGTGAGAATTGGTGGAGATAAAGTAATAATAAAATAATATGCTAGTTGATTTTAGTTGGATGATTTAATAATTGATTTTGTTTTTGACTTATTTTAAAGGTAGGGAGTTAGAAGAAAATTGATTATGAGGGTAGGGAGTTAGAAGGAAGAAATTTTAATGAGGGACTGACAAGGAAATCAAATTTAGCTTTAGGGATTTTTTAGGGGGTGATTGTTTATAAAATAATTCACTCACTTTTATTTCAACTCAAAATCTAACTCAACTATAACTGAATCTCACTATCTTTAATATTATTCATATAATTAAATAATACAAACCAATCATTCTTACACATCACATCAACTTTAATTCACTATTCATCCACTCACATATTTTTAACTATCAATCATTTTCAATCATTTATCTCTTACTTTTACATCAAATCAATTTTAATTATTTTATTTTAAATATTATTTTAATACATTCTTAAAATTCCATTACAATTAACCATACCACCTTTTTCAAAATTAACTATAGTTAACTAAAATAACTCAATTTGAACAAATTATTTCATAAACAATCAAGCCCTTAGGAACTCTCCCGCAGATTAACTGATGCCGCTTTCATTTTTTACGTCATTTTTTCTTAAATTAATTAAAAATTCACCCCCCATTTGTACACAAAAA